GGTGGGGGAGGAAAAACCACGGGGGTCAAACAGCCCCGCGGGACGGGGGGAGGCGGGGGGGCCCTCCCGCGGAGCCGGGGGGCGCAGGGCTGGGGGGTCGCGGGGAGTGGGCAGGGGAGAGAGGGAAAGCGGAACGTGTCGGGGGGGCTTTTGTCGCCGCTTTCGGTCAGCGCGGCCCCCGGGGCACCCTCCGGGGGGATCCCCAGCTCCTCTCCCTCCCCTCTCCCTCTTCTCTCCCTGTCCCGAGGCTCCAAACCGGCAGCTCCCGCAGACCTGCGCCCGGCTGCTTAACCATCTCCTAGCCAGGCTAACCATCTCCTAACCTAACCATCTCCTAACCTAACCATCTCCGAACCTAACCATCTCCTAGCCAGGCTGACCATCTCCTAACCTAACCATCTCCTAACCTAACCATCTCCTAGCCAGGATAACCATCTCCTAGCCTAACCATCTCCTAGCCTAACCATCTCCTAGCCTAACCATCTCCCAGCCAGGCTAACCGTCTCCTAGCCAGGATAACCATTTCCCAGCCAGGCTAACCGTCTCCTAGCCAGGATAACCATTTCCCAGCCAGGATAACCATCTCCTCGACAGGCTCCCCGTTTTTCTCCGCAGGGAAGCTCCACGTTGCCACCAGGAACGTTTGCCCTTGAGAAGTGGCAGCATCTCTGAAATCAGCGGGTGCGTCGCCGTGGGGCTCCGCAGGAGGACCTAGACCCTGGGGAGGGGTTCTCCTGCTCAGCACAACCAAAGCACGTTTCTTTCCCCTCTGGGGCTGAGGGTCTCATCTCTGCCCGACTTCAAGGCGAGGAGACGCGGCGGCGGGGGCACGGCATGGCTCACAGCCAGCTGCCCAACGACTCCTGGCAGAACGGCTCGGGCCCTCTCTTCACCGGCCTGGACCTCCTCCTGGAGCTGAAGCCCCTCTTCATCCCGCTCTACGCCACGCTGGTGGCGGTGGCGTGCACGGGGAACCTCTTCCTCATCCTCCTCATCGCTCTGACCAAGAAGCTGCACTGCACCACCAACTTCCTCATCGGGAACCTGGCGGCGGCCGACTTGATCATGTGCCTGGCCTGCGTCCCCCTCACCGTCTCCTACGCCTTCGAGGTGCGGGGCTGGCTCTTCGGGATGTTCATGTGCTACTTCGTCACCTTGATGCAGGCCGCCACCGTCTTCGTCTCGGTGCTGTCCCTCACCGCCATCGCCATCGACCGCTACGTGGTGGTGGCCTACCCCATTCGCAGGAGGATCAGCCGCAGGTCCTGCATCTGCCTGGTGGCCTGCATTTGGTTGCTCTCCATCATGGCCTCTGTTCCCACGTCGCTGCACACCCACTACTTGGATCTCAACACCATCGGCCACGACATGATCATCTGTGAAGAGTTTTGGAAGCACGAAGAGAGGGCGCGGCTGCTCTACTCCTGCTTGATGCTCCTCTTGTCCTACATGCTCCCGCTTCTGGCGGTATCGGTCTCCTTCTGTGCCATCACCTACCACCTGCGGAGGAGGAACGTCCCGGGCGCTGCCTATCCCTGCCAGGACAAGTGGACCAAAACGAAGCAGAAGACCTTCCGGGTGCTGACCGTCTCGGTGGTGTGCTTTGCTATCTGCTGGCTGCCCCTCCAGGTGGTCAACTTCATCAGAGACATCGACGAGGAGTTCACTATCCTGGACAAGAGGTATGTCAACGTCATCCAGGTCTCGTGCCACCTGATTGCCATGAGCTCTGCCTGCTACAACCCTTTCATCTACGCCTCCCTCCATGACAAGTTCTGGTTCCACCTCAGCAGCTACTTCTACCGCAAGAAGAAGAGCTCCAGCGTTATGTCCTGCAAGGCTTCTCGCTTCAATACCTGCTCTACCCTGGCAGATGCTCCTACCGGGGTCTCAGATAAGATAGCTTTGCAAACCAGATTCTCTTAACTGAAGGACCCCCAGAGATCAACTTTGCTTTTGGACCTGGTGTGTGTTTTGCTCTAGACTGGACGTAGCTGGTCGCGGTGGTACCTCGCTGTTCCCAGAAGAGGTCTCTTGTCCCTGGCAAGGGCCATGAACAAACCCATGGCCTTTGTGTCCTTGGGGAGCAGCTCTTCTGCGCATCTCGAGGATGTTTTGTTCTTTGGGGAGAACAAACTGGTGGGACAACAGACACAGCAGCTGGGCAAAGGCAGAGAGATTGGGCGCAGGACGTACCTGTTAGCTCCTGTCCAGATGCTGGAGCAGAAGATGTTTCCCCCTGTCCCAACACAACACAGGTCCCTGAAACAACATTCACTTGGCTCGTTGAAAGAGAGCAACGGATGAGTATTGGGATTAGTGATTCGACAATGAGCAAGCCCCAGTTTTCAGAAATACCTCCACATTGGCACAGCCAAAGTCTGCCTCCGTGTCTGAGCTCTGTGTGCCGAGGAGCAATGCCTGAGCCATGGCGCTGGGTCCCAGGGGGGTGAGCAGGAAAGCGAGGGCTGCTTGGGACCAGCAACCTCTCCATTGGGCTTTTACAGCCCATACCTCACGTCATGGCTGGGTGTGGAGTCTACACCCTACATCTCACATCATGGCTGGGCATGGGGCATATACCCATATACTTTAATCATGGCTGGGTGTAGAGTATGTACCCTGTATCTCAACCCATGGCTGCTATGGGGTACAAAGCCTCTATCTCAACTCATGGCTGCTATGGGGTATGTACCCTGTATCTCAACCCATGGCTGCTATGGGGTACATACCCTATATCTCAACCCATGGCTGCTGTGGGGTACGTACCCTGTATCTCAACCCATGGCTGCTATGGGGTACGTACCCTATATATACCCTGTATCTGAGCCCATGGCTGGGTGTGGGGTATCTCAAATCCCAGCTGGGCGCATGTTGGAGCACAAAGCCTTCTCCCCGTGGTTCACGGAGGAGCTGGGTCAGCTTCTAAACACAACAAACACACGCCGGGCGTGATTAAAAAAAAACTCTTTGGAGAGTGTACGTCTTCATTTTGTAGGGTAAAGATTGTTCCTAAGCAACAGATAGCACTTTCTGCCTCTGGAAGAACACCGGCTCTCGCAGGTAGCAGTTAAATTGCTCTGCATTTTTTCTTTTAAATTGAGGTTCATTGGTGAAAGGACAATATACATTCAGAAATGTGCATTCTTCAGGCAGAGACCGTGTGGGAGCTCGCGGCCACTGAAAGCAGGGGGCTTCTTTTGACCAGGGGTGACTTTCGTAACCTGCTCGTTGTTCTGGAGAAGGCACTGGTGTAACCAGGCTGGAGGGATCCCATTTCTCCAGCCGCCAGCGCGCAGCCAGACAGGGCAGATGCAGCCACTGAAATTACTGCCGTTCTTCATTGCCAAGCGGGACCCAAGGGGATGGAGCACCCAGAAAGTTCTCAAGTGATGTGTTTGCCGGGGAAGATGTCTCAGTCTCTGCCTCTGCTCCCGAGGTAGTTTGAGATCCTAAACGTCCATGTTCAAGGTCCTTGGTTGGAGGAGGATGTCCTGGCTGCTCTAATCCAGACACTTTGCTTGTTGGACACTGCTTGGTGTCTCCATCTGTGGCCCTTCAGCCGGGTCCCTGCAAGCGACACACCAAGAAGGCAACATCTGTTTGCACCCAGATACCCGACTTGGTTTTAACATCTTGATCTCCCAGGAGGAGCCTCTGGGGACAGCCCACGGGCACCAGCATCACCATGAGCACCAAGTCTCAGGGTCACAACAGCTGCTTGGCCACCCAAGGCCGTGCCTTTGGTTCACCATCTGCTGCTGTGCCCCATGGGGCTGAGCCATGGATCTCCCACTGCACTTCATGTCTGGGGACAGGACTTTAAACCCTTGTGCAGCATGTCCTCACCACTGCATGAACGTTCTCCATGGCGTTGGCCACCACTCATGCTTTCAGAGAGCAGCTTGGCATCTTCTGGTGCAGATGCAGCTGCCTGGATCCTTACAGGGTCCCTCATCCACACTTGTATTCCTGGGTGTGAGCTGCTGCCCGCTTGCCTTCCTGCTGGGACCTTCACAGTGGCCCCAGGAGGACCATGCTGACATCCGTGGTGCCACCAGCAGGGACAGGGACCTGCCAAATGCAACGTGACGTGGATGCTCATGGCCTCCACTCCCTTCGGTTCTCGCAGCTCCCCCGTGGCCACCCAGGGCTGTGCTGGGGGCAGAGGCTGGATGGCTCATCCCAGCAGGAGAAAAGCCAACCAGAAGGTGCACTGCTTGTCCTTCCTTCTAATAAAGGCTTAAAAAGCTTGGGCTGAGTGTTTGTATTGATTTGAATCCAACAAAAATAAGCTCCCCTTGACTGCAGCTTCATCACGTCCCGGGAAGCCAATCAGTCTGGACACGTTTATCTGCGCGGCCGTCACCGGCGGTGGCAGATCCTGGAGGGTCAGTCTGAGATCAGGGCTGGGGAAATGAGGTTTTGGGTGAGCTCTGCCAAGCAGCAGCTCTGGCTGCAGAGAAAAGGTTGGCCAGATGGGTTTTTTTAGCAAGGTAATGACTCAAGACGTGCTTTCACTCGCTTTGATTTCTGGCTACAGCGCTATGAACACCCCGAATCTGTCCGAAATCTGCAGCAGCAAATAATTGGTCTCAAGGGCCAGGGCAGCCTCCGAGCCACTGCCTTCTCGCTGCCCGGGCACCCTGAAGGCTGCCATCTGAGAGCACACGACCAGGGGCTCGCCATGGGCTACCACGGAGCAGCAGTGGCCACTTCTGCCAGCAGTGTGGGCGAGTGGGGACTTCACAGCCCCACGGCTTCCCCGCCAGCCACACACCCCATGGGCCACCTATTATTTGCTAGAAAAATCTGCTTCTTGCTTGTGCCAGGTCATTGCAGCCCCAGCTGAGCCAGGAAACCCCAAAATACGGTCCCGCCCCAACTTCACCTTGTTGTCCACCTCTGCCACGGGCTCCTGGTTTAATGGCCCAGCCTTGGCTCACAAAAACACCCAATGTCCACCTTCCCCACCAGAACCGCCGCGTTCAGACATGGGGTCGGGACCGGCGGCAACGAGCCAGAGGGAGGGCAAACTGCACAAGACACAAAGCAAAGTAAGAAATGCCAGCGTTTTACAGGAAAAGGCACAAACCCAACTCTCGGGGTGTGCTTTTCTGTGATGAAGTTGCCCATTAGTGACATAAAAGACCAAACCGACAGCAGAATGCCAGCAGGCAACACAAAAATCTAGCGAAGAACACAGTAATGAAGTTTAAAAGCCATTTTTCAATGCTAGGTTTTATTCACGGTAGAACTGTGGGGGTTTCCTGTTCAGGAGGGCACGTTCTGGGTGGTTTCCCTGCGGCCAGCATCGCTTTAACATCTCTGCTCCGCGGTGTCAGGGGGAGCTCGGGGTCTCTACGGGTGGGAGCCTGGTCCTGTCTTTCACGAAGCGGGGCAGGTCTCTACGGGTGGGAGCTCGGGGTCTCTACGGGTGGGAGCCTGTCTTCCACGAAGCGGGGTAGAACAGAGCTTTTTCTCCATTTAGCACTTTGATAGAGGCACTGGGAAGGCTCAAAATTGCCTGGAGGGACTAAAAGCATTTCTGCCGCTCGCAGCTTCAGCAGGAAAATGGATCCTGCTGGTAAATCCCCCCCGAGCGAAACCAAAGTACCCCCCCCCAGCAAACCCTGGCTCAGGGGTGGTGGGCCAGGGCTGGGCATGGCCAATGCTGGCCCCCATGGCCAGTACCAAACCATCCTTGCTCCATATGGCGATTTCTGCCTTTAATTAGCTCGGGAAAACAATAAGCAAAAGTGATTAAGTCACCCGGTCGCTTTCAACCCCGTGGGGCTGGTGTTTCCGAGCCGAGCTGGAACACACGGAAGCCTCTAACGAGGGTGAATCAGGTGGGAATCAGCAAAATGCTCACGATTGCTTTGTTAAATTAACGGAATTTCAAATTAGGCAGATTTCTTCCCTGGGATGTCGACTCTCAGGGCACGTGGCCCTGCCAAGGCCACCCGCCTGCTCTGGTTTCAGCCCAGCGATCTTTTAAGGTCCCTTCCAACCCAAAGTGCTCTATGATTCCATGATTCTGTGATTCCTGGGGAGAGGGGGGGCCACGGAGCCAGCTCCACCAGGCACAACTCCTGCCTATGAATCAACAGCAAAAACGCAGCCCAAACATGTGAGATTTTTTTTTTCCCTGGCTTATTTCCAGCATCCCTTGTTCCGGCTGTGTCCTGTCGCCAGCATCAAACAGCACACAGAGGAACAAAAACGTGCCTTTTCATCTTCTATTTGACTCCTGCTCTAAACAGAAACGTGGAGCTCCCTGCATCTGTACCCTTCAACCGCGAGGCTTATTTTGTTTTGCCACGTGGCTTGAAAGCTTTCTGCCACGCAAGGGAGAATCAGGCTCAAAGCCTAGGAGGGGAAAAAAAAAGCACAAAACCCCACATAAACCCTTAACAGCGTGGAAAAGTAAATATCTATTAACAAAAGACAGCGCTGCTGCAGAAGGGAGCTAGAGTGGTGGGGGTGCATCGATCCAGCCTCTAATGGCTGCTCATGCTGGTGGATTTTGTGTATCACACGTGGTTTGGATGGGAAATATCCCAGTGGCTCATCACTGAGATGGTGTTGGGCAGCGGTGGGGGGTCCTGGTGGGAGTGGGTGCTCAGGTGGCTCCAAGGCAGGGGGTCTTGGGCACCCTGGGAAGTCCCTTTGGGTAGAGGACCAGGGTGGTTTTTCCCTTCCCCTTCCCCAGTTCAGCTCTTCCTGCCTCTCTCCTTCACGTCCCCAGTGACCACGGGTCTCCTGGGACCTCCCCTCCCTCCTGGAGGAACCCATCCCCACCTTGCCCTGCTCTGGAGGGAACCAAAGCACCCACGTATCACCCTCATCCTCAGCTGAGGCTCAGCCTGAAAAAAATAATAAAGAGAGGCTTAGGAACGATTCTCTGTGCCAGGCGGGTGTCCCCAGGAGAGAGGGGAGGGCAGCACAGGGCTCCCCTTTCCCATCCAACTCCCCCCCTGAGCTGGGAAGCTTTAGGTTGCTGAACGCCGCACTGAAACCCCCAAATCCCCCTTTCACTTCTCCTACCAGCTGAGCTAAACCTTTTGGAGACCTTCCTGCCCCACGGGGTGCCATGGGGATGGTGGGGGAGCATCTTCTGCCCCACACCCAGCCTGGGCTCACAGCATGCTCTGCATGCCCCCCATCCTTCTCCCCATGCCAAAATTTTGTCAGCAAAGCCTGGGCACACCAGCTGCTGGGGGATTTCTACTTTTCTGCTTTCAAGAGGAGCAAACGAAGAAGCTGGGGACACGTTTGGGGTCCTGCCAGGGCTGTGGGACCCACACCCCAAAGTGCTGACCCACCTCAAAGTCACCTGGGGGTGGAGGCAACTGGAGCATCCCTCGCCAGATGGTGGTTTCCTGCCTCTGGCTGTTGTTTCGAGGCAGGAGGAAGCTTTTCCGGACTTTATATGGCTTGTTTCCCCCCGTGGGATGACTCGGTCTGGAGAACATCGTCAGTGTGCAGCGTTTAACACCTCAGGGCTTTAGGAGCCAGGATCTGCTCCGGCTTAGTCTCAGCACAAACAAGAGCCAAACCAAAATCTTCTTGACCTTTGGCTGCAGACGCAGAGAAGACAAACCGAAGAGTCCCAGCATTTGCAATGTAAAGCCTTAAATAAGGAATTCACTCCAGCATCAGCCCTTATTTCCTTACCCC